CACCCCCACAACGTGGCCCAGCCCGATAAGATTCTATAAAAAGAAACGCCACAATTCGTAATTTAGCCCACAGTCGGTGGCCATATTTGATCCCCACCGCGGCGTACTGCTCGTAGCGCCGCGAAGAGAGAGAGGAGGCTCCATTAGTTCTAAGCTCCTTGGTATTATTACATACATGCATATTTTAGCTTTTGGGACAAGCATTGACCTATTCTGGCTTTTGAAACGTTGGCAGGCCTGAAATGGCCAAGACAACAGTTTGCTTAGAGGTATGTATTCAAATGAGAAAAATGCATTGTTTTCAGCTGTTCTTTGTGGCCTATGTTTGGAAAATGTTCTTCCCCAGGTAAAGGAACTGAAAGCAGAGTGTCTTAAAAAGCGTGTGAAAGCTACAGTGGATACTAGCAAAGGTTGCATCACCTTGGAAGGATTCTCAGTACATCTTGCACAAGAGATACTGCATAGTATGCATCTTAAGGCCATAAATGAGCAGTTTGCACAGACAAGTGTTGCCTTTCACTGGCAGTACATGTCCAGAAGCAGATTCAGGGATTTTGATCCGCAGTAAGTTTTCAAAATATTTTTAGATAATGTGATTTCTCTGTTGGCGCTCTCTAATAGTTTACAGTGCAGTTACAAAACCATATGTACCAAATGACAAATTTTACTCTTCTATAACAAATAGTCTCTTACAGATGCACCACTCTAGCTAAGATATCCAAGAACAATCAACTACTGTGTCTGTTCAGAAATGTTTGGACACTTCATAAAGATATCTACGTCAGCATAATTGTTTTCTACAATATACTCAACCTGATGAAACCGATCACACGCTTAAGCATGACTACCTTTACCCTTCTGTGTACTGAATGTACACTTCAGCTCAGAGGAGTGTACACCCAGTAGTCGTTCCCCAGGAGCTCAGATCCAGTAGGCTCAGTGGGGCAGGACTCAAAATGTGTGGGCCTCATCTCACTGGAGACGTTTCACGCAGCATTTGCGAGCACCAATATTTTCCCGAAAGGCGGTTCACGCACCCCCTGCGAGCACAAGTGTCACGATTTCTCCTCAGTAAAGTCTGCGTGCAAACGCTGCGTGAACTGTCTCTTACCGTGCAGCCGACCTTTGTTTCGTTTCGTGCGAAGTTTCCCCGGAACTGGCCGGAACCTTTTTGAGTTATCGACCTGGAAGGAAAATTAGTTATGCTCAGGCCCTATTTTCGTTTCTCTGACTGGTGTCTGATCTCGCAACACTTTGTCAGTAAGAAGGCAGCACGTTTTGTTTTAGTAAGAGTTTTATGGCGCTTTAAACACAATAAGGTCATATAAATGCCAAAGATTAGGTGTTACGAGAGAGTAACAAACACAAAAAAGGAGGAGAGATCTGGACGAGAGTTGTTTGATAGGAAAGAAGGAGCAAACCACACCAGAGCACCCTCCAACCACCCACTTGGCAGCCCAAAAAGCTAATATTTTTCAAGTGTTTGACGACTTTGACAGTTCAGAAAATTCTGATTATGATATTTTAGACCATGGGGATCCTGATTTCAATTTAAATGAGCATCAAAGCACTGATTCTGATAGAGAGTGTTCTAGGTCTAGACTAGGCTTTAAATGCAAAAATTGGCTTTGCCTGGAGCCCTGGGGTTTTTTTCACACTGAAGTGGATTAGACAGCTAATACACAGTGGCGGTGGGTAGTGAAGGGCTTACGGGCTTAAGCCCCACACCCCCACCCCGTCCCCACTCCAACTCTATCCCTTAGTTAATGAAAGTTTCTAAAATAACGAAATAAGCTGTTGAACCCGTTATGATCGCGGACAATGAACACACAGTTATCAGCCTGGCGGCTTTCCCGTTTGTCCAATCATTGTTGTCACCGCTTACAACTATAGTAACCTTACAGCAAATCAAATGTCGTTAGGGCTCAGAAAGAATAAGCCGGTTCTCACGCCCGTCTTTAATGAAACTCTTCTTGTAAAAAGGTAGAAGACGTTAAAAAAATAACACTGCACAGAGGGCTCACGCTCTCCCAGCCCTGACAATGGGGTGAAAGTTTACGACACACTTTCCCCCAGTGACACAGATACCTATGCGCCCATTGGGCCTTTGTTAAGCGTGTTCTATTTTCCGCAACAACACGACCCAATCCACCTCATTGACGGTATGTGTTTGGAGTGCTGTGTGTTTGTGCCGCTGAGATTTAACAGTTATTAATTACATCAAACCACTTTTGAGGCAACTTTTTCTTCAGATAAAAACTAATTAGAGAAATTTGGAGGTGAAACGGCTTCGTCCCCACCATCCAGAAGAGCTTAAATTTAACTAAGAACAAAGAGATGGCAGACAAAGGTGACTCTTCTCGTTTGAATGGTTCTCAAAATGCCGTGGCTCGCCGTGAGTCGTGAGTATAGAAAAATCATCACTTTTTGTTCTTATTGCTTGCTTTTTGGTGGTAAACAAGTGGAAGAAACCTAAGCCCCACCCAAATCTTGGTCCACCCACCGCCACTGCTAATACATAAGGATTACCATATATTGATTACCTGCCTATTCCTGAGTTTGGACCTTTTATTCATTTTTTTGAAACTCAAAACGCAATAAAAGACACACACAAGGTTAATTTGGGGGGGGGGGGGGGGTATTGGCTTTTTTTTTTTTTACATAAGACGTTAGGTCAAAAATTTTTGGCGAGCAACAAATTTTAGCACATTTTCAAAAAATAATTTTTAGAAAACTATAAAAGATATTGCCTTCCTGTTTTTTGTGTCATATTGGACATGTTTAAATCTGTCATGTGTGTAAAGATGGTGGTTGTATGTCTTTGGGAAGGGTGTTGTTTGAAATATTGAAATTCCCTGAAAATGCCAGTCTTAGGCGCACGTAAACCCGAAAAAGGCCCAGTCTCCAGTGAGTTAAATTCAAACAAGTTGTTGAGGAGGAATCTTTTTGTTAACATGTCTATAGTTACATAAACTAACTGTAATTGTATTTGAAATGAGGTAATCATTTTATATTTATATATTTTTAAACTGTCGTTTTTACAGTGGAGATAGCCTCTCAAAGACATAAATGAAACATGTTTGAAGTGTTTTGAGGGTCTGGTAGTGAAGGCTAAAGCTCCCACAATATCCTTCAGAACTTACTAAAAGCTGCTAGTTCAATGGATAGGGCTGTAGCTCAAGCTCACAGTTGGAGTCAGAGTTGGGTGAAAAGTGAAAGTGAAAGTTGGAATCAGAATAGCTTTCTTCTTCTTCCACGTCCAGTCCAAGTGATATACAAATCTATTAGTTCCAGTTGAGGGAACAGTAGCACTCCATCAATTAGTTGCAGGTGTTACAATACTCAAAGTGAGAAAGTGGGTGGTTGGCGGGTGCTCTGGTGTGGTTTGCTTCTTCTTTCCTATGAAACTTCTATCTTCCTTATCTCCCCTACTTCTTTTTTATGTTTGTTACTCTCTTGTAACGAACCTCTACTAAAACTAAACTAAAAGTGAGAAACTCGGTATGGACTTCAGAAAGAACTATAGCTACGGGATACTGTCGCACCATTTCTGAAATGCTTCATGATGTACTCCCGCTGGGATTCAATTTCATGCTTCCACACCTCACTCAACACACATAGGTTGAATTAATTGCTTCTATGTTGTTTCTGAGTTATTCAGAAAATGTTCTGTAACACATAAAAGAAGTAATATGAACACTTGGTGTTGCTTATTCCATTCAGGACAGTTATTTTTTTGTTAAATGATTTTATTACAAATTGGGCGGGGGGAAAAAATATTGATGATATAGAAACTATTGGGACGAATAAGTTGCAGTTTTCTCTTTCTGTGACAGCATTTGTATCATGATGCGGTAGAATCAAGCGCTCACAATCGTTGGGCATCTAGAGTTATTGGTATCGTCTTAAAGCTTGCTCATTTGACCATCTTGTGATGAAAAAAATACATACCTATCTTGAATAGAAGCCCAGATATTTGCGATTGAAGGAGGTCGGGGTCTCTTGGTTTCAGAGGTAAAATTAGCTAGGAAATGGCCGTCAAAGCTGGTGATTTCCAAAGCTTGAGAGTACTTGGAAACTGAAAATTTACATTTGTTGTGATGTTTTTCAGTAAAATCCGCACTGAAATTAGAAAAAAATTGTCAGACTGGAGGAAAGAAGCTGATATCTTCTGTGATATGATTGCCTCCAATACGAAACTATAGTAAGAGTAACTAACAGCTCTCATACTACACATGCGCATACCTTGTATCGCCCTACTTCCACTTCCTGAATAAACTAGGCTACCCGCTCAACGTATATGAATCACCTCACACTATTCTCAATCTGTTTGGTATCATTATATTATGGTGGCAGCAGTAAAAATAAACAAGCAGCAGATCCGGTCCCCGTGAGTGTGCCTCTAGCTAGAAGTAGAAGCCTACAATCAGGCTTTTGGGGCCGAGTAAACTGTTGTTTATTATTTTTTAGCCTCACCCGCTCGAGCTTGTAGTTAGATCTAGAATAGAGGTCATTAACTGTCAATATGTCCTCAAAGCAGATTCCCAAGATGATGTGGGAAAACGAAAACGTGGCAGATTCCTTCAAAATGTTCAAACAAAGACTCGACCTATATTTTGCCACAAAGACGGTACATAAGGACGACCAGGTCGCCCACATATTCCTCCAAATTGGTGAGAAAGGCCTTCGGATGTTTAACGCTATGACACTCACAGACGCTGAAAAGAAAGATCCAGATATTATATTCCAAAAACTGGGCGAACAACTCGAGCCGGCTGAACACGAGGCAGGTCAAATCAGAGTCACTAGACGATTTTGTGACAAGGGCGCAGCTCCAGTCACAGAAGTGTGCATTTGACAGTACGGCAGAACTGGAAGAGAGACTGATCGAGTTAATCATTTCAAGCACACCCATCGGAGACTTCCAAAGGAAACTTCCTGAACAGCAAAAGGGTGTCAAATTGGCTGATGTGATAAAGATGGGTCGCACGTTCGAGGCCACAGCTAGCCATCAAATCCAGCACTCGTCCTCCTTGCAGAAACTGCATTGGGCAGCACATACAACGGGAATGCCCAGCCCATGATATTACCTACCATACCTGTGGCAAAACTAACCACTTCGCCAAAGTTTGCCGTTCCGGGCCTCACCAGTCTTCACGCATCCCTTCACGCAGACACGGGCAACAACGTGACGGATCAGGCAGCTGATGTGGAGGACATCAGCAGAAGCAGCTAGAGGCAAAAATCAAAGCGATGCAGACTGAAATCAACGCAGAGAAATTTGACGACCTAACATTCAGCCCAGTCACCGTCTCTTCAGTTTCTTCAACGCCTTACAACGCGATGAAGCATTTGTCAAGCTCACAATACAATCTCCAAACAGAGCTGGGCAACACAACATCATTGTCAAGGTCGACACAGACGCACAGGGGAACACACTGCCCCTACGCATGCTTAGGGACATGTTCCCTGAGGAGCTGACAACGGAGGGGAGCCCGGCCCAAACAGATCTTAAGAGAGAAAGGCAGCACAAGGCTGACTGCCTACAACGGCACAGACATTCCCTGCCTTGGCAAGATAGTTTTTCCCTCTCGCTACAGAGGCGAGTGGCAGGAAACAGGATTCTACATCGTAGACGTAGAAGGACCTGGCATCTTTGGACTGCCGTCATGTGAAAATTTGAAAGCAGTAACACTGCACTGCAGCATTTCAACATCACCCCCATCGACCAAAGACAGGATCATTTGCGTCCAGGACCTGATGAAAGGCCACCCAGAACAGATCGAGAGAATCGGTAAGATGCCTAGCCTCGTCAAGCTAGTGGTGGATCCAGACGTCCCGCCACACATCGACGCACCAAGGAAAACTCTGATTGCTCTCAGAGATGCGATCAAAGAAGAGTTTGACAGCATGGTGGGAAGTGATGTGATCAGAAAGGTAACAGAGCCAACGGATTTGGGTATCAAGCCTCGCCTACTCCAAGAAGAAGTCAGGGAAGCTTCGAATCTGCTTAGATCCACGTCACCTGAATCTTGCAGTGAAACGGTCACACCACAAGATTACAACCATTGAAGAGCTGACGCATCAGTTCTGTGGAAGTCGCTACTTCTCCAAATCGGACGCCAAGAGTGGCTACTGGTCGATTCAGCTCGACGAAGAATGCTGGCTCTTGACAAAGTTCCCGACTCCATATGGCCGATACTGCTTCACTAGACTACCATTCGATCTCAAGGTCTCTCAAGTCATTTTCCAGCTGAAAATGGACCAGATCCTTGAAAACGTGAAAGGAGCCACCGGCATCTCGGACGACGTTGTAGTCTACGGAAAGACAGAAGAAGAACATGACGAAAGCCTGCGCAATCTGATGAAAGCCACGGTAGAGAATGGATTGGTCTTCAACTCAGAGAAGTGTACCGTAAAGACTCAGTCCATCACATTCTTCCGCGCCACATACACTCCTGAAGGCATGCATCCTGATCCTGACAAGTTCAACGACCTTAAAGCCATGCTAGCGCCAGCGTCCAAGAAAGAACTGCAGGAATTCCTTGGATTAGTGACCTACATACATGTCGCCATTCATCAACAAACTGGCAGAAAAAGTAGCGCCACTCAGAGAACTCCTGAAGAAGGACTCGTTCTTCAACTGGGGCGAACACCATCAGAAATGCTTCCACGCTCTGAAGAATGCAGTTTCAGAGAACGCCACTCTGATTTCTTCGACACGGGTACAACACCAACACTGGAGACAGACGCAAGTATCAAAGGTGTAGGCATGACATTCCTTCAGCATGACAAGCCTGTTGCATATGCATCCCAGACTCCGACAGATGCCGAAACACGATACGCCTGCATTGAACGAGAACTCTTGGCCATCCTCTATGAAGTAGAACGGTTCCACACCTATCTCTACGGTCAGAAATTCTTCGTCAGAACAGATCAAAAACCGCTCGTCATGATCCTCAACAAACCTCTTGTCACAGCACCTCCCAGGCTGCAGCGAATGCTCCTCAGATTACAACAGTACGATTTCACCATCGAATACACGCCTAGCAAGGACATGACAGTAGCCGACACACTGTTAATAATAGATAGCATTTGTATAGCGCATATCCCCGCTCAACAGCAGGCTCTATGCGCTTTATACTATATTACTGTTCAGACTGCCAAGCCCCGGAAATGACAAGACCATCGACTTTGACCTCACCGTTGGCCAAGTCGGATTCAGCACGGACCGAATCAAGTCACTCCAAGAAGAAACCAAATGTGATCCTACTCTGAGCAAACTCATCCCAACGATCGTCAACAGATGGTCAGACACCATACAAGAGGTCCCCGAAGCTATTCACAGTTTTTGATCGTTCCGAGACAAACTTTCTGTGGAGGACGGTATCGTACGGTATCGTACTCAAATGTGATCTGGGGTCATCCGGCAGAGCCTCCAACAAGAGACAATGAGACAAGTGCACACAGCACACCAAAGGGTAGAGAAGACCAGATTAAGGGCACGAGCCTTCGTGTACTGGCAACCTCATTTCAAGGGACATTGAGAAGCTGGCATTTCAGTGCCCCATCTGCCAGGAGCACCAAAAGAACCAAGTGCCGGAAACACTCAACCCCCATGAGATTCCGACACAGCCCTGGAAAGTCTTGGGTGTAGACTTCTTCTCATTAGACAACACCCAACACATCCTCGTCGCTGATTATTTCAACAAGTTTTTCGTCTGCAAGAATTTCCCAAACGACTATACCTGCAAGACCACTGTCAAGTGATGAAGCAGATATTTGCTGAACATGGAATCCCCAAATCCCTCAAATCAGACAAGGGTCCCCAGTTTTCGGCAAAACCATTAAAATAATTTGCCAAGGACTGGTGCTTTGATCATGTCACTTCTTCCTCCGTCTACCCCCAAGTCAAATGGCTTCATCGGAAGACAGGTGCAGACAGTAACACAAGCTCTCATCAAGGCAAAACAAGACGGTAGTGACCCTGACCTTATCCTCTTATGCCTTCGCACAACTCCAATATCTTCCATAATCCCAAGTCCCTCAGAGCTGATCACTGGGAGAAAACCTCGTGGAAATCTTCTCACTCAACACCCCAAAAATCCAACCAACGATCTCGTTCGTGAAAAACTACAGCACCGTCAAGACGCTCAGAAATCATACCATGACACCAAGGCCAAAGACTTACCACCACTGACTCCAGGCCAGCACATCAGATTCCAAGATCAACCCTCAAGCAAATGGAAAGAAGCAGTGATCAAAGAGAAATGTCATGAACCAAGATCTTATATTGTAGAAATACCAACGGGAAGAACACTGAGAAAAAACAGTGCCAACATCAGAAACTCGTCACAGTGACAAATGCAACTACCCAAAAACATAGAATCGTCCAACCGTCAACACCTCAGCAGTACCCTCACCACCAGCAGCACCACCAGATTCACCTGCTGTGTTCACTCGTTCTGGCAGAAAGATCACCTGACCTGCTAGATACAAACAGTAAAATATCGTCTCACGCTATTCTCAGTCTGTATCGTATCATTATATCTTCAATTTCTTTATTTTGACGAACGCCTAATTTCACCACTATGCCTCACATTTCCTTCTTTCTTTCTTTGCATCTTTTTATTATGATAGTTTTCACATTCTTTTGGTGGTTAACGATATCAGTATATACCCCAAAACTGTCGAGCTGCTGTTAGGTGAAAAATAGCTCAGGCTCAGGTGAGTTAATATCATCGGCAAGTTGTTGAAATGTACTAAGCCCAGAAAGCAAGAGTTTACAGGAGAGAGAAAAAACTGTTTCATTCTTTTTACCCTTTTACCTAGATCTATAGGATGTATTTTTTTCTTGCTTTTTATTTCAACATTTAGATTTCGACAAAATATGTCTTAAGCACATGTAATCGATACCACAGATTATGAAACTGCAATTTTGAAAAAATTGGAAATTTTTGGCTCTGTACTTTTTAACGGCTGGCAGACGATATATAAGACTTGAATTAAACTACTAGAATCGAATCCAGTAAATTTGGTATGGAAATTGAGTTCTCTATTTCTAAGCCACGGTGTTGATCAGAGTTTTTGGTATTAAAGTTCCAGTCAGTTGACAGCAATAAACAGTTGCATTTTTTTTCCTATTTTATGGGGAACACTTTAATTCTCCTTTATTGCTTACAATTTCTTTTCTTAAAGATGCTGCCTGTTTAATCCTTCAAATACTTTTATAACTTTTCTCAGGTCCAACATCAGTATTGAAACCGCTTACAACACGTACAAGGGCAATCAAAAACATCCTGGTGATAACCGGACCTATCATTTTACAGTTCCAAATGGAAAAAGTTACATTATAGATTTCAAAGACATGAAAGAGCAGGAAGTTGATGATCAAGGCAAACCTGTTGGGAATGATATCAAAATTCAGAGATATAACATTCTTCAAGGTGAGTATTTTCTTGTTTTGTTGTCCTGGAATATCTTTTTTAATACAGGTAGACTCAGAGGAGACTTCCCATCATTTATGCAATGATTGATCAACATTCTACAGAAAATGCTGAAGGTACTATTTTGATATTTCCTTTATGCAGTAACGGGAAAACATCATTGGTATTTTAGTTTTAGAGAGAAATTCATTAAGAGAGATACCTTTATCCGATATCTTCTTTGTAACTAATGCGTCTGGACAATCTGTTCTGATCTGCTCATTCAGGCAGTTCAGGAACTACATTTGCTGCAAGTAAAACAAAGGATCAAATAGAAAAATGTGTTTTTCTGCTACATATGTCTAAATGATACAACACCTTATATATCTGAAACTATTTTAAGAGTTATATCATCCACCTAGAGCTCTTAGATCAGCTATCGAAAAATTGATTATTAGAGCCCCGAAACAAAATTACAGGACATGTGGCAAGTGTTCCTGGTCCTACTTTGGTCCCCATGTATAAGAATAAGGAGTGCCCCCACTATTCAAATTTTCAAAAACTACTGAAGCATTATTTATTCACAGAGATGCCTATTTGTCATATAATGATGTGCTGTTACATTTCGTGGTACATGTACGTGCATGCCTGAAAGTGAGATTGAAGAAATAGTGAATGAGAATGAGAGAAGGGCGGGGGAGAGAGGGAGAGATGATTGAGAACAGAAATTTTATTCCTTCTATAGCCAGTCGAGATACTTTTATCGTGCCGATGCCAGTAACTGAAAAATGTATTTCCTACTATTCATCTCCTTTTGTTGACTTTGTAGAGATTTTACTGTCCTCTCACCATTCCTTGTGACTATAAATGACGCCAGAACTAATGATGTTTATCTCATGTCACTTGATGCCAGTTCACTGCCTTTTTTAATTCTTTTTTTACCGAGAGTACTGGGGCATTGGAAGGAAGCAACTAGCATCTGTGGTGTAAAAGTTACACTTCTGGCTTCACATGCACAAGACACGAGTTTGAGTCCTAAGGAGGAAGGATATTTTGTTGATTATCTCTGTCTTTCTGCAGGAATGCCTAGATCTATCCCACATTGTCAGGGTTGGCCTTGATAGACAGGGTGGAAGGAGCTGACATTTTTGATAATGTAAATTGTGCCAGTGGCGGTGTAAAATATTTTCAATGATCTTTTGTTATAGCAAGATGTTCTTGCCTGGTATTGGTCCCCATTGAAACTGAGACAAATTCTGAATCCTTACTCATTTCATGTTTACAGAAAGCTTGCCTTTGCACAAGGCCTGGGTTCCCATGCCAGATGGTCGAAACATGTTGTTAGTAGACATTAAAAATGACTCTGCTGAATTCAAAAAAGTTGAAAAGGCCTTTCATGACAAAGGTGAAACAACTGCAGTGAAGAAGGTGAGTGTTCTCTTGATTTTCAATTGCTTAGCTTTTTGTCTTTCTCTTCTGTTTCATTTTCTCACACTGGAGATGTTTCTTTGACACATATAAAAATATACTGGTATGGCCGTTTCTCCTCTGGTGTGAACCCAGTATGTCCATGCCTTGTTTTTAGTTTGATATCTAAAAGTATATACATCACTAAACTGGTCATTAACAAATCAAAATAAATGAATCTATTTTGATAGTTCTTCATCAAATGAATGAACTCCCAGTAAAAGAGACCTGTTTTCAGCAAGTTTCAAACAGTAAAAGACATCGAAGTTGTCATAAAGGAATGTTCCCGAGACACTGCGGTTCTGACAGTGAGCCACTGGGAGCAGCTTGCCGGAGATAAGGAGTTATATCGATCAACTAGTATGGCCTTTTTTTCCCTCAAGAACTCAGTGTCTATGGCTTTTAAATGTAACATATTTTCAAGGTACTTTTAACTCCCTCAGGCACTTTATGGCTCAACATCACAAGATTGCCTGTCGTTTGGCACCTATTTTAAAAAATCATTTTAACTTATCATTCACCTCCCTAAAGTGAAGCAACTTGCAAAAAGGTAATAAAACAGGGTCTTTTGCAAGTGTGTCAAAATCTTTTTTTTTTAATTTAATGAAACTATTTCTATTGATATTAATATTGAGCCAGTTCAATTGAAGACGCAAGTTTTTCACCAAGAATTTCCCTGGAAACGCTTGATTTTTTAAAAACTTTGAAAAAATACTGTTTAATGTGAAAAAGCACATTATACGTAAACGTGAAAAAAAACATTTTTTATGAGCTAAGCACACAATGTCAGGATGTCAGAATTGACCGTAGTCAAATAGAATGGTTTAAAACAAGTAGTACAAAGTGATATATTATCTATAAGAATAGGGACAAATTGCCAGGAGCATTGTCGTCTCCTGAATCAATAATCCCGATCGCTTCGTTGGTTGTGAAAGGAGCATCTAGCAGCTCTCTATTTCTTGTTCACATAAAAAGCAGGTCAGGTAAGCATGTTTCAGCAGGTCGCTTATTGGGTGACCGATGGTCAAAGGGATACAACCACAATAAAGTTAAATGGTTTAACTAACATTGGGAGTCATTTCCCGTGAGATTCTTAAGTCTTTAGGTGCCAAACCGGGACCCGATGCGTCTTCAGCGTTTGTTCTAAACCATCTACATAACTTGTGTCGTCACCCCTATCATCTTCTTCAGCATTAGAAAAGTTTACATCTGACCTGGCCCTTCATTGACATACATGGGTCTGTCAGTTTGAAAATGTTGCAAAATTCGTTCGCCATAGTGCCAAAATGCATTTCAGGTCATCCTGGGGAAAAAATAAAAATGTCATTATGCTATCAAGGAAATTTTATTAGTTATCAAAGGATGTAACTCAAACAATGTTCAATCGACTCATAAGGGACAGCAGTTGCACACCTGCGAAGACCAGCCCCAAAACACATCGGGTAACAGTAGAAAAATAAATACAGTGGGGCACGGAAAACACAAACATGGAAAACTCAAAACTATGGAGAACATGCACAATTTGCCATTCCTAGACTGATATGCCTCTTTAATTTTTCATTATCAGTTAACCCATATTATGAATGTGTCGAACACATTGGTCATCCCCGACTTGTTTGAGTTATCCATGCTTTAGTGTAGGAAAGTCAAAACGGGGTGGTTGCTGTAATGGGACAAGTCAGGTGCAGCAGCGAGTGAGTTAATCACTTTTTACGGCGAGGTTTGTTTGTAGTAGTAGTAGTACTTTCAGTACTACATGTAGTAGTAGTATTAGTAATTAGTAGCAGTAGTAGAAACAGCAGTAGTGGTAGTTGTTGTTGAGTCAAAAGTAGTAGTAAAAGTACATCATGTACAATATAGTCGAAGTATAAGTTGCACCAAAGGCAGGAGTAAGATAAAGATTGGTTTGACAAGGTGTTTGAACATTCCTGTGCTTCAAACTAATGACTGGTCTTTTCTGGTCTGTGGTAATTTTTGTTTTTCATTTGTAGAGCTGCCTTGCATCGAAATAATTTTGCCTTCGAGATGCCTAGTGCTCCTTTTTTCAACCACTCACTTTTGTTGTTTAAATGGATGATTTGTCTTTGCTGAGTTTAATGTTGTTTGATTGCATGTTTTTTGTTTCTTTTTTAGTACATGTGGGCTTATCATTCTTTTTATTGTGTGTATGAACAGCCTTTGGACCACTTAGTAGTGATATTTTTGTCATACATGCTTATAGAAGTTCAAGGGGTTTTGCATTCCAACTTTCAGCACTGATTTTCAGCTGAGCTCATTTGCAGGAAGCAGTCTCATGTCACAGCGTAAATATTTTAAAATGGACTCACGTCTTTGATCTAGCCCTTTCGTGACATATTTTGGACCGCGGGTCTTTGATAACATCACTTTCCTTATTCCCTATATTCCCAATCTTACCCATAATTTTGAAAAACTTGCAAACTGAGTCAAAAAGTGAATTCTTCTTCTTTGGGTTCCCCTTCTAGATTTCAGAAATTTGAGATGAAAGCAGAAAACAACAGGACTAGAGAACAGGAAAATGTTATTGTCGCTGTCAGGTTTCAATCCCGGAACCTTGTGAATGAGAGGCAAACACCATACCTCCAGACCATGATAATCCTCTCAAAATTGAAAGACTAAACCTATGTTTATATATCGCTTACAAGCCTAGCAGTAAAGTAATTATAGCAAATTTGGTACTGATATGCACTTTTTTTATTCCCGGATATACATCCATGCTGTTCTTGTGGCTAAATCTCCATACAGAAGAATTAAAACCAGTTAATAAGAGTGACGCACATGTAACATCATATAGGCAACAAGGAACAGCAAATTTTGCCAACTTTTGTGGCGTCAATGATATGGCACAAAGCTAAAAACTTGGCAATTTGTAACGTACCAGGTACGTCATACGGTTAAAGGGGTTAACAGATACATGGAGTTTGAATCTATTTTTGTTAGGCTGTTTTACACTTTGATATTTAGACACTTATCACGCACACTTTAAAAATGCCCTCAGATCCAGCGTGTCCAGAGTGTATCCTTGTACCAGCAGTACAAAGCAAAGAAAAAAGAACTGGAGCGACACAATCCAAAGGATACAAAAAATGAGAAAAGGCTGTATCATGGCACAGATTCTCAAACAGTCTCGGCTATCCTGGAGAATGGGTTCAACAGAAATTACTGTGGAAAAAATGGTAATGTGTTTTATGAAAAGAAAGGGAGTGCGTGAGGGGTCACATTGGGTGGGGTTTTTTGTTTTTTATTTGGGGGGGGGGGGGGGTTAAGAAAAATAATTTTTTAATGCATCTCTGCTGAATAAATCACTGAAGTGCAAACATGATCTAAATGTTCTTGAATTAATTTCAAGTCCTTTCATGTACTACAATTCTGATACCTTATCACACCAGCCCTTTTCTTCCAGAAAAAGTTTTGTCACTCGTATATTATAATATCTTTACATGAGCTAACTTTTCAGCGACGCAATAGAGGAAATAATAAATTGACGGTACTTTAGAAAATGTAACTGCCAGCACAAAGCAGATTCTCAGGCTGTATCAGATTACATCATATACTGTCTTCGATTTTTCAAGTTTATGGCCTGAGTATATTTTTAGTGTGATATATTTTAAATTAAAATTTGTTAAAGAGAAAAGACAGCTGGAGCGAAGTATTGTTCTTTTAGGTGTTTCTTTTGGAACATCACAGTATGTACCCACTGAGATAGAGACAGGAATATCACTGGCATGGTGGTATGCATCGGGTTGCGTGCAATACCCCATGTGCTGATTCTTCCTAAGTTCTCTGAAAAGTGAGTCATAATCAGCATCTGAAGTGTATTATTTCAGCTCTTTTCTTTGCTTACACTAAAAAAAAATGAGTTTGCTTCCTGTGTGGAGAAGATTAAGTTTGAAGTATTTCCATTTTTCTGCTGAAATGTAGTGTTTCACATAGTTTAGACTTTAGACTTGCATATCTTTTTGAAGGAGAGTGACAGTTTTTAATCATTTTGAATCACATATCAGTGATGGCAAGGGTGTTTCGTGCATCTTTTACTCTTTTTACTTTTGAAAATGGGGAAAGCACAAAGGTTGTAGATATTAGACAGAATGTTTTTGGGTAATCTCTTCTGTATTCCATATTGTATTTCAAATGCCATGACTTCAGTATCCTTTTTCAATGTCTTTAAATCTCTTTTTTCAACTGACAAACTGAATCCAAGTGATATGACAGCATATATATTTATATATATATATTTGTTTACAAAGTGTATAGATAGGGAACATTTTTCAGTGAAAATCATTTACAGAATGTTCAGATTAACAAGTAGTACATGAATGTAAACTGTCTTCTCTCTTCTCTCTTCTCTATTTCAGCTACTATGTATGGAGAAGGTGTGTATTTCTCTGAACTTTCATCCTACTCTAGTCGCTATTCCCAAGCAGATGGGAATGGTCTCAAACGCATGTTCCAGGCAAGAGTCCTTGTTGGAGTATCAACTCCAGGTCAAAGTGGTATGAGAGCGTTGCCTCTGAGGACAGGAACAAGACCTTTTGATAGTGCCACTGGACCAAATATGTTCATTATATTTCATGATTCTCAAACATATCCAGAATATGTAATATACTTTTGATAGATTTGCATTGTGAGTTTTGGTTTGAATGTAAGCAACATGCCATATTTCAGCTTAAGGTCCAGCAGCACTGTTTAGTTGTAGGATTTGACTTCACTCTTGTGATATTGTAGCATACTATAAAACCTGCTGTGGTTTCAAAATGTTGACCATCTGCAACAGGGAGCTTTTGTGCAGAGCAAATATTCATATTACCAGTAGGCCTATATTTGACCTCTCCTCAATTACCATAAGCTAGATAAGACCTCTTTCCGTCAAGAGTAACCATGGTGAAATTGATAAGTTCTTGAAAATCAGAATGCAGTGCTACTTCATATTCTTTGCAGCTTAGAGGTTTAACTCGGCTAAATGTTTAAGCTATAGGTTGGCAATCCACGGGAAAGAGACCAGAACAATTTAATGGTCCGGTGATAAAATATCAGGAAATTTTTTTGGGATCAATTCTGACAAGAAATTGTATGAGGAATCTATTTCCGATGTTTGTTTTGCATGAAAGTATACCTAAAACTTGAAAAATTGCCCAAAAGTAAGCAGTATGTTTTTACTTTCATAAGCACTCAGAAAATAACTGAAATTTGAGCTTTAGCAATAACTCCTCCAATAGAGTGAAAGTATCGTATGTGTTGTAGTTGCTACCACTGTGATCTCAGCCAATCATAGATCTGCATGCCATTCATATCTAAAAGTAGCATTGGAAACCTTAACCAAAACGTGAAGGACCCTCTTCATAAATAGGGAAAGCTGAATTTTTGCAGGGAAATTTGTTGCATTTTTCTCTTAATTGAGTTTTCACCATGGCTTACTTCGTGAAGCACACTGTGTCTTCTACACTGATGAAACTTTTGCAGCATAATGTTTACGTAAATGCCTATGTACTGCCAGAGGCTTTTGGCTTGAAAACGTATAAAATATTTAGAAAAAAAAATCTATAATGGGCAAAAAGTATTGCTTTTGGACGTTAAAATTTTGGATGTTCTATCCTCATTCAAAAACTGTGATGAAAAGCAAAAATCTGTCTTGTCGGGACACGACACAAATGTTAAGTGTATCTGGCTGTTTGCAAATTTTCAACTTTATTAGGTAAGAATATTTTGTTACAGCGTGTTCCCTGTATTTATTATTATAAAATAACATGTCATGACCTTTGAATAGGTATATGGAACTTGACAGAAATGAATCCTATTATTGTTTCACTGGGAACATCAAATAAGTTTTAAGAACAGTGCATAAAAACTACTGAAACTGAAAGCTGGCCATGAGCATAGCTATCTCTCCCTATTAAAATATTGTCTCATTACACCCTCCATAGCCTTCACCTTGTTGACTTACCCACCAGGATTTAGTTATTCAGGAATCTTGAAAGGTTTAACTCTCACCATCTGTGGCATCGGTGGCCTAGTGGTTAGGCTCTCGGACTCGCAACCGTAAGGTCGTGGGTTCGAATCCTGTCAGGGACCTGACGTTGTGTCCTTGGGAAAGGCACTTTACGCGAGTTTTCCTGACTTCACCCAGGTGCGAATGGGTACCCAGCTATAGACAGTGAAAGAACTTGTCGGTTTGTTAGTGTTTGAGCGCTTAATCAGCTGCTTGCACTGTATGCTTCCCGGGAAGCTGAGAATGTTTCTGAGTGTTCTATGGTCTGCTGGGGTAATAATATATATAATGCTATCTATTATTATTATCTATTATTATATACCAATTAATCAGTATTCCCAACACTTGGCCTGTCATTTCGCTTCCAGTAAAATGATAAAATATAATCTCCTATAAATGACCTATGTAATACATTATGACATAACTGTTTGTTTATGATATTGATTTGTTGTGGGTAAGGAGAAAGGGTACTGTTCACTCCAACATTTTTGACTTGACTTGTGAAAATTCTTTTCTTTTGTGTGTGTACATTTATTATGTGTGGTTGTCATTGTGACCAAGGACATGCTTCATTAAGTGGTGGTCATGCTTTTATCTTTTTTTTAAAATGGGTTTAGTGTTCCTATGTTTGGAGCTAATGACAAATAACCTTTGCCTCAGTTGCATGTCTTTTATACTGTTGATGCTCACTTGGCAAGCAGAGGTCTCAGTAACACCTTGGTTTTTTGGTTTTTTTATCAACTGCACGTTGTGATTTTGTTTATGTATAGCCTTTTTTTACTATAGTATTAAGGTCAGTTAGATTTCTCGTGCAAATAGCGAGTTGTGGAAAAAGAACATGTTACTGTACTTATAGTAGGCCTATAAAGTGATTTATTGTGTTTGATGTGACAGTTGGAAAAGAGGTTTAGGTTAGGAGTTTGAGACTGAGTACAAAAGAGCATGACTGCAGCGGGACCTTACCTGAATCCCCTTTTCTTTTGTCTATGTAAACTCAATTAACTGTGCGTGGGTTTGAAGGGGCAAGGAAAGGCCCAAACTTAGATACAGCGGGAGAGACCGAGCAAACTCTAGCTCGAGGAAGGGGGATGGGGGTGGGGGGCTGTAGGTGGTCAGGCAGTCAGTGGTGAGGCATTGTGACTGGCCTATCCAGTGATGAGTGAGGTGGGGCAGGCGACAGAGAGAGATGGTACAGAGAGACCCATGACGTGAGCCACTCCAAAAGAGATGTGCCATAGCCCTAGGCCTAGGCTAGGCCAAAGAGACAATAAAAGAAGAGGAAAGCGTGCAGTGTGTGATTTTTCGGTAATTCCCCTTTGACTTCCTATAGCAGGAACTTGTCTACAGCGGAATTTTTCTTCTGGAACTAAAAGTCCCGCTATAGCCATGTTCTACTGTACAGCTTTAGAGCTGGAGAAGAATAGCGTGCTTCTAGATACTGGAAATGACTAGATGTACGATGCATATTGCCTCCCCTCATCTTGTCCCTCTTTCTGGAATACTTTCTCTTACGCAGAACTAACCTTTCGGAGAGGTGATTGTTTGTTGATAAATACAATTATTCTTTTGTTTGTCCACTTGGATTTGATAATGCCTTTATTTTAGTCATTTTTATCTGTTACAGCCAAACCCTAATAACTTCATGAGATGAGAGAATTTTTTCCATTTTATTAAATTTGGTGAAAAGCAGTGTCAATGAAAAGTTTTTAAAAAAGGGGGAGATGACTCATTTCTTACTGTTTGTTGGCTTGTATAAAAATGTGTTGTTACTAAGAACACGAATAAGGATTGGGAATTATAAATTAAGTGGAGTGTAAAGCTTGATGAGCGTGTACCAAATAGTACAATATAATGCAGCTACATTATGCCTTGAATTGAGTTGATGGAAAATTGTTTGAATGTTCATGCTTTGTCACACTGTTTCGATTCCATTTGGGCCATATAATATGAATGAATCGGATTTTTTACATTGTAAATACTATTCCCCCAGCCATCAAGAACCTTGTACACTTTTATAATATTCAACTTGTGTGCTTTCAGCCTCTGCAAGGCCTGCGAAGAAATTTGATCATCTGCATATATAATTTGTTCTTTTTCTATAAGATGGGTTTTTTTCAGTATCTTTTGTATGAATTGTGTCTATGGATTGATATTTAATTTTGCATGTCAGAAAAAAAAACTTTATAGTACCATATCAGAGAAGACCTTTTCCTCTCCAGACTTTAATTGTACTTCCATTATTCATTAAAGAACAATATATTAGCTCTATGCTTAATGAAAGATATTTGTTTTTTGTCATATAATGTGTTTATTCTAGTGTCCAGTAACAATGTTTTACAACCAAGGATAAGTCTATGCCTGATGGTCTAGGCTCATAGCTTACTCAGTGTTTTTTAATGGGAGGAGGTAGTGTTGCCTACTAAGGCAGACAGACAGGCAGACAGACAGGCAGTCATTTTGCATGTAAAGAGGTGTCCACCTAAGATCATGGTGCTCAGGTACAAGGAAAATGCGGGATCTTATGGCGTATGGGTCTTAACCGATGCACCAGGGGAAGAATCCAAGATGACCCATGATCAGGCCCACAACCAGTGAAATATACTACTCAAAAAAAGTTAAAGACCACTTAAAGTCACACGTAGTACATAAAACTGAAGAACATGACATGGTTCAAAATTGTTTGAGAGGGGTCTTTATTAATCATATCACCTTTTGGAAACGACATTTTGCACATTTTAAAATGGAAAATGGGTAATTTCAGATGTTGAAGGAGGTAACTCATGTTTTTAAAATTCTCATCACGAGCGTCATAAACAATTAGGGCCCAAAATCGCGTGTGGCCACCATTTGCAAGAAAACAGTCATTGCATCTTTTTTAGTTTTAGTAGAGGTTTTACAGCCCTCGCAACTGCATAAGGGCATATGAGCGCCAAGGGGTGGATGTCAACAGAGAAGTCCTTACGGGGAATCAGACTTACTCTGCTTTCCTCTCTAGCTTCAACATCACGGTACGAAGTCTGCTTCGACTATCAAGGCACCCCGGAAATAGCGGGTCACAAGAGTGTGACAAACATACAAAAGAAGTAGAGGAAAATAACGAAAGGATTAGGAAAGAAAAAGCAGCAGTTCCCTGTTGTAGTTCAGGCACAGTTATGAGCATGACATTGTTCGATCAGCCCATTTACAATTCTATTGTGCATAAGAACATGGTTAAGTTTTAATGTTCCCCCTTTGGGAATGGCCTAAAGACACTTCAGTCAGTGGCACCGCCCCAGGGAGTATTGCATCTTTGTCTCATGGACTGAATAAGTGTTCGCAATACCAGTTGTGGAATGGCTTGCGATTCTTGGTCCAAAATGTTGAAGAGTTCACCCACATTGCTTGGGGGTGGCTGATGGTCTCTTACTCGGCGCCCAAATGCATCCCACAAGTGTTTGATGGGACTAAGGTCCGGTGATCGGGCTGGCCAGTCAAGCCTGACCACGTGCTGCTGCTGCAGGAAGTCATCCACCACTCAAGCAATGTGGATGAACTTTTTAACATTTTGGACCAAGAATGGCAAGCCATTCCACAACTGGTTGTCATCCTGGAGTATCGCGCCCTGGCCCTTTGCCCGAAGAGCTGTAATTGCAATAGGGTGGGGAATCTCGTCCCTGTAGTGGATACCCGTCAGATTGCCTTGAATGCGATGCAGTGGGGTTCGGTGGTTGAGTCCAATCCCACCCCACACCTTAAGGGCCCATGTCCACTGCGATGGACACGAACCGACCCGATTCCGTCCGTCTCTGGGAAAGTCGGTAGTTGAAATGGAGCACCGATTATTTCCTAAGAAATCAGTGAAAAGTCCGTTTGGCTGTGTCAACAGACACGACACGACACGCCCCCACAAAAGACGTGTCGGTTGGAAAGCCGCTTGTTCCATTTTAGCCATGCCGGGTCGTGACTCATGATCCATAGGTCCCGCCGGAGCTAAAAAAAAATTCTAATTTTGAGTTTGGATTAAAATTCTAATGCCATATTCGTAACCAGCGCCTCAAAATGAGCAAAGTCTATGCGCAAACCACCTGGTTTAAATACATATTAACAATTTTACCAATTTTCTTTTAAAAACCCATTCATTTCTTATTCCGGCCTTGGATTCATTGACCTCGACTATTTATAGCCCTGTACCGAGGACACAGCCTTGGAACACAATGTGTGGGATAAGATTGCCAGTAGGCCAACAGACTGGACGTGTCTTGTCCGAACTGGTGGACACACAAGACGGAAACGATCCGACCATTTTTTTCCTCCTGGCAAAAGATCGAGCCGTGCCCGTCTCAGTGGACCCGTAGGGTTAAAGAGCCTCCCCCATATCGGTCATGCTCCTGTACACTGTCGTCGTGGAACCGCTCACCAGGACGCCTCTAAACACAGATCCTGCCATCGTTGAAGGACAATATAAACGTGGATTCATCTATGAAGAGCACAGTAGACCACTGCGGGCGTGTCCACCTCAGGTGCAGGGCGGACCAGGTTCTGCGGGCAATCCGGTGGGCCTGTGTCGGTGGAACCCGGACTGCTGGTCGTCTGAAGCGTAGACCAATCTCACGCAGCCGGTTTCTAATGGTCTGGTTGCTGATTCCAACGTTGCCTGGGGGTACCACCTCCTGTCTGATGTGACAGGCGGTGCAGGTTCGAGTTGCCTGGGCTGTTCTGGCGATCGTCCGGTCCTCTCGTCGTTTTGGTGCAACGTGGCCGTCCGGACCGCCTTCGCTCAACAGCAGTTCCAGTTGCAGCAACCCGGCTTCTCAGTCTGATAATCACTGAGTGACTCACAGCAAGCCGTCTTGCCACTTCACGGACAGCAATCCCTACGTGGACCCAGGCCAGGGCTCATCCCCTGTCGATGTTGCTCAGACGTCTTCTTGGAGACATTTTTTAAAAATCGCTTAATGTGCCCGCAATAAATTATACCCATAGCACCGCCAAACCCACTCCGGCATTAGTGTAGGAAGCGTGAATTCCCTTGAGCTGGTTTTTAAACCCATGGCACTCACTGAAAATCACGTAAGTGATTGTCAAAAACAGGTTCAATTTTACAGAAAATTGGCCCCCTTTCACCATGTCTAGGCAGCGTAAATTAAACAAATGTCAAATCTGTTCATCATTGTAAATAACGATGAGCCTTTCTTACAATGACATCAACTCACTCACCTAACTTCTCAATATTTGTTTGTCACACTGTCTCAAAAGTCAAATATACCATTGTGAAAACTGTAGTGGTCCCTGGCTTGTTTTGAGTACCGTAGTATAGTCTCCCTTTACTCTAAAACGAACTGGTATGACCCCCGGGTGGGCTCACGACTTATTGCGAGCATAGAGTGGTCAGCCTTGATGACCAATCGGCGGCATGAGGCATGCTATTTTCACTTATCATCCTGTAGTGAGTTTCAAGATCTACACTTATCCAATTGCTCCTCCCCTTCATCTGTCCAAAATGTATAGCCTTCCATCTCTGGCCGAGTTCCCCGCTTTTGCCGTTACGCACCATCGTGTTGTGACCGCACCAATAAAAATTTAGTCTGTCTGACAAATTCGGGAGTAGAGATAACTGAGGCAATGGTCAGAGAGGGGTTCATAGTTCAATGTGATCCTGCCTGGAGTGAACTTGTAGGCCCTACCCACCAGGTGTTTAGGTGGAGAGCCCCGATGTGAATGTGATCTTTGGGGTAAAAAAAATACGTCGGTGAGTTCACACGTACCGTTTCATCGAGATTTACAACAGAGACGTGATGAGATTCACAAGAGTGGCTGATCGGTGATGGAACGGGCAGTTCAATGATCGTAGATTTTCACTTTTGGTTGTTCAGCTGTGCCCGCCTGGGTTTTTTGTTCAATTAATTTGATCTAAAATGCAGGATCTAAGCCGAAAGTAGACCTTCAAAGCGGGATCTTAGGGGTGACTTTTGTGTAGTAAAAATTATGTTTTCTTAAAACACCGGGATCTTAAGCGAATCAGGATTGTAAGTGGTGGAATCTTAGGTTGAGACTACTGTATGTGTGGCATCTTAATGAAATCAGGAGCTCCTCAAAATAATGGCCTCGAAGAAACCGACATTCACATTTCTGCATGGGTCTTTCTGCAAAATGTTGGTCAAAGGCACACAAAAAATGTGAATTTGTAGTGTCTAAGAACACTATAGTTTTGGAAACCACCAAACTTTGGCTTCCATTTTCTCCTTAACTTTACCTCATGCTCCAGGCAACCTCCCTTTCTTCAATCGTAAATATCTGGACTTCTATTCCAGACAGATGGGTTTGGGGGGTTTTTTCATCAAAAGTAAGGCAAATAGACAGGCTTTAAGAAAGTACCAACGGCTCCATTTACCCCAAAATTGATGAGTACCCAGTTCTACCATGTAGTGACAAATACTATGGAAATGTTGATAATTCTACAATGTATTGTGAGATTGCCTGTTTCTGCTTTCACGGTTTGTTCCCAGGCCTAAGAGACGGTGACATGACGATGTATCACTAAGGGTGTGAAAAGAGATACGGGTAGCTAACCTTGCTGTGTGTGTCTTATTCAAATTATTGCATACTACTTTAACTTTTAAAATATCAATATTAAAGTATTCATATTGCTTTTTCATTTTCTTATCTTCTGTTTCTTCATCTTCATTCTTCTTCTTTTTTTTTATTTCTGCTTTACCTTCTTCTTCCTTCCCATGTACTCTTGAGCGCCAGTGTCTTTTAAATCATCAAAACTCTTCTAATTATTCTGCTTGAGACAGAGTTGCATCCATTCTGCTCTTGAATGTTATTGATCTATTTACTCTAACTCTAAGTAATCTGGTTACATTTGAGTTAGAAATGAAACATATTGTCACTGTGGCAATAAAAAAGTGAGTTTAATGAGTCACTCCATTTGACTTTGTATTGGAGCGAGTAAAATACATTTTTAAAATGTACATGTAGATTCTCCTTTTTCTTGTGAAGGTGATTACCTATGAAATAAAATTTTCCATTTTTGCTTTTAAATTGTGTCCTTTGCTCACTTGATATTGATGCTTGGTCTAATGCCTTGAAATCAGAATAAAAATCTATTGGAATAAGTTCGTCTACTACTGTGGCAAATTTGAATGTTTTCTTTTACGTGTATTCCATTTTTTGGCTTAGAACAACGTATTCTTCCCTGTCAGGCCTCCTTTTCTTTTTAATGTGTACAGTGTTGTTTCCTTCCTTGGGTGAAAAGAATAGTTATTAATATATGTGTCATGGCGCGGTGGAATCAGGCGCTCAATTTTTTTTACATATGAAGTGATTGATGTAATCTTAAAGTTTATTCATTTGTCTTACTTTCGATTTTATAAAATAGTCATCTGTCTTAAATAGAAACTGACATTTTCAATTGAAGGAGGTTGGGGTTGCCATATTTCAGATGTAAAATTGACGAGAAAATGGCCGCCAAAATTAGGTGACTTCCAAAGCTTGAGAGTCCTTTGAAACTGGAAAATTACATGTTTAAAATTTATTTACGCCTCGAAGCAGCGTTTGTCAGTAAAATCCACAATGTGTTCTTCAATTAGCCTAAAAGGTGATGGGTCAAAAAACAAAAATTCAATAAAGATTGGAAAACTAGCTGAAAAATGCTGGTTTCTTCGATTTCATCATTTTGACAAGCGCCTGATTTCACCACGCTGCCTTACACTTACATATATTCTCTCTGTTCTGAGACCACAGTATGTACTGAAAAAGTATGAGGAAAATATAACTGATCAACCATGACTGCAAATGAATTCAGGATCTGAGCTCGTACTTTTGCTTGAGACTCAAACACCCTGCCTGGAGTTTATCAGTGCAGTGGCGTGCTATTCACATTACATTTCTGGTTATACTTTTTTTTTTCCTATTTGTATACCTTTAATTTTATGGTTACTCTGCTTTCCATTTCCTAAATCTCGCAACTTTTGAGCAACTTAACTATGGAGTAACAGAAATTCCAATCATGAATAATACAGTCGATGACAGATTAGTTGATGTCGTCGGGGGAGTGAAAAAAGAGTTCAACTCATCTGAAGTTCAACTTACCCATTGTGACCTGTCGAAGAAGAGGTGCTGGGACCCAAGAAAAAGATCAACTTAACCAAAGACCAACTCGATTGAGTTCAGCACAAGTGGAGTGGACTTTAATAACAATAATAATCATATTCTTACTATTATAATAATAATAGTACAGTTGACTCTACTTGTGTTGAACTCAAACTCAAACTCCAGCTCAACTTTACGCAAATTCAAATTGAAAGAAGTTTTGAGGCTGTACGGTATGTGTCAAGAAACCGTCATATAGACGTACTTTTTTTTATATTTTTGGCCTGATTCTCAAGTCTTCGGACTGCCTTAGACCTATCATGTACACTTGAACACGAGTCCTCACAATTTGAAAGCCTCACACGAGGCGCCCGCCAGCCTTTAGATCACTAAGCTCGTAAGTGAAGACGCCAGATATTTGGCAGGCAGGCCAAAGATAATTCAGCCTAAAAATACACGAAGTAAGAGCATTTTCGTAATCGGCGCAAATCAGGAGGAAATTGACGACAGATGCAAGAAAAAGGCCAACCTCACAGAAAGAGATGATCAATCAGCCAGCGAGTGAGTGCCGTGCGTGGTGTGTAGTGTGTACCTCTGACGGCCAATTTATTTTTGTCGAGGACGGTACAACTCGGACAGCAGATGGCACTGTAAAGTCATAAATACTATGTTTATAGGCATTCTTTTCGTACATTGGCAAAACTTGGCTTTAAGCGGGGCTGGTGGTAAGTGGGGCTGGCAGTACAACGAAGTTTGACTGTATGACTGTATGGGATTTGGGAAGGTGGGGGAATTCCACACCCGGAATAATTCCACACCCCCACTTACAGCCCTTAGAACCGACAGAAATCAGTTTGACATTCAGCTTTAATCTTTCGCTCCTGTCTGCCATGTTTTATTTTTCAATTCAGCTTTAATTTGTAGTATGTCTGTCTTTTTATTTTCATTTTGGTATGTGTGCTCATGTGGGTATGGAATTACCCCGCAATATTAAATTTTTAATTAAGTTGAAAAATGGAAGTATGGGGATGGTAATATTGTAGAATTCGTTTTTTTTAAATTAAGTTTTATTTTCTAGCTTATCAAACCCAAAGTAAAGCTGTTGTGGAGGATGTGTCCTCTTTCTACATAAAGTAGCTTCTATAATTACAACTTTTGTCTCACAGTCCACTTGAAAAATAAGGTGTGGAATTCCCCATTTTACTATACATCTTGTTGTAATAACAGTTGAAGAAGTAGAAACAGTAGTAGTAGTAGTAGTAGTAGTAGTAGTAGTAGTAGTAGTAGTAGTAGTAGTTGTTGTTGTTGTTGTTGTTGTTGTTGTTGTTGTTGTTGTTGAATCAAAAGTAGTGGTAAAAGTACATCATGTACAATGTAGTTATAGAAACAGACGTAGTTGTTGTTGAATCATAAATAGTATCCGGTAGTAGAAGGAGGGCCTTCATCATACACAATGTAATCAGTAGAAACTGTAGTAGTACATGTAGCAGTAGCAGCTGTTCTTGTTCGGCTTTTTCTAATTGATTATTAATCATATGTCCTCTTATTATTATTACTATTACTATTGCATTAGGTCTTCTTCTTCTGCTTCTTATTAATTATCAAATCTTCTGTTCTTCTTTTTCTTACTATTATTGTCATGATCATTACTATCAATATTAAAATATGTAACAGCAGCAGCAAATTAGGATATATGTAAATTTTGAGGGACAATCATACTGCATTACCTACAAATAAAAACTCCTCAATGGACCTGTCACCTTTACAACTTTAATAAGAAGTTAGTAATAAAACTTTAATGATTTCAAAATTTAGCAAAACTTTTGGGATGCTCTGCTGCTTTGGGAGGGGGGGTCTAGAAAATGGAAAGCCAGTAAAGAGGATACGGTACAGAATATGATGTACAACAAGCTGCACTCGTCTTCAAGTGGAAATGAAGCACTCAAAAGCTCAAAGTGTGGCAAACTCTTCTCTGCCAAAATAAGTCTCTTCTGACATTGCAGAAGCCACAAGTCACCTTAATCCTTATTTCTTCTATTTCGCTTTCCAAGATTTTTCTCATCTGCAGATGCGATGGTCATCATCCGATATTGACTAACAATACCCTTTGTCCACCACATGCGCAGTGAGCAAATGAGCAGCCATTATTTAAGTAATAAAGATATAAAGGGTACAGCTGCCAAGTTTTGAAGTACAGTGGAAACCATATATAACAGGCTCGGTAATAACAGGGATCCGGTAATTACAGTGATTTTTTAAATCCCCATTTTTTTCCTACTCTTTGTCTCTATTAAAACTTATCGGCAATAACGCCCTCATCAAAGCAAAATCGGTTATAGCAGAGACAAAGGCTCGTTAACAATGTGTAAAAAGTAAAAAAGAGAGAGAGAGAGAGAGAGAGAGAGAGAGAGAGAGAGAGAGAGAGAGAGAGAGAGAGAGAGAGAGAGAGAGAGGGAGGAAGGGAGGGACGGGGGGGGAGGGGGGAGGAGAGAGAGAGAGAGAGAGAGAGAGAGAGAGAGAGAGAGAGAGAGAGAGTAACGCAGTGATGGAGCAAGCCCACGCAAGCCACACCACTGCAAGCACACACAGCAGGTGAAGCAAGAGAGGGCTGCGGTGTGCTGCAGACTTTGATTTAGCCCTAAGCCTAGTTACACGAACGTATAAGGTGTCATGTACCCCTGTTCGTGGGTACTTATGGCAAGGGAAACTACCCATGAATAAGTACAGCTGGATTAGTCCACAAATGCTTACTTCCCTAGTATTTCTGGTTTAACAGGGATCTGATATAACAGGAATTTTTTCTCTGGTCCTACCATCCTTGTTATATCAGGTTTCCACTGTACTTGTATTTATTAAGACCTATGCAGTTATACCAGACAAACTGCTTTTCAAAGAACCACAAGCCAATATCTTATAATTATGAACACACCACGTATTTCAATTTGGACAACGGTAGTCGTAAAATGTTGAAATTCTCCACTCTGCAAAATTGTAAGCAAAAGCTGACATAAAGTTTTGTGAAACATTACAGAGAAGATAATCTGAAAGGGCAGAAAATGTTTTAAAGTAGAAAAGAAAATCAGTTCTCAATCACAGAGTTGCTGACATAATAAGCCATTTAAGCATACCAAATATAACAAAGAAGTATTCTTTACCTAATTTATTTTTTTCTTAAGCTTTGTTAATTAGAACACCAACATTCAATCTAAAAAGAATTTTCTGAAAAGAAATCCAGCATCACTAACAAATTTATTAGAATATTTCAAACCTGTGAAGCCTTTCACGTTCAAACAAAGAATAATGGAGTGTACTTCTTCATGCTGAATATTATGTCCGACAGAAGACTCTGCAGCCTCTCCAATCTTATATATCCTTGGTGAGCCTCAAATTTTCGTTGTCTGAAAAATCCAGCCCATGCACTGATATCACATTGTAATAAAATGCCTGTTCTTTTCCAGTTGCCATGCACACAGAAACAATGTTGTCTTTGACATCATGATTTTTCAAGCACATGTCACGGGCACCTAAAAAAACAAAAATCACAAGATGGATTAAACTAGGCTGCTGGCAGTAGCCTATGTAAAGGGCACAACATCTTCTTTCTGCTTTACAATATAAAAACAGGACCGGTACTTTACTGAGTCACATCGAAGTTTATTAGAAAGAAAACTTTCCGAGCCATGTTCTATAAAATTGTAATATTCATGACTTAATAGAAAAATAACCATCCAAACCAGTTAGCAATCAAATTCAACCAGCAATGAAAGAGAAGAAAAAACAATTTCAAATATAAACACCTCCTCCTCTAACAAAGGAGTCAATACAATGCTGAAAGTTTGAACCGATATATATTCTAATCAATCAGAGTTGGGATACTTGCATCACTGATTCTGTTACCTGCTGCCATAACTTTAATTGTTACTTCTATTTAATCAACCATAGTTTCCATTAAATGTTATTTTACCCTGCCTCCATTTCTTAACTTATGAGAAACACATCTTTGAGCAATGGAAAAATTAAAGTTTGGAAATGGACTTCAGTCTCCTCTGTTAAGCATGTATGAATTATACGTAGGTTTTTATACAGCACAAATAAATGTTTGAGCTTCTCTACAACTGCTGGCTAGGCTATAAGCTTTTATCAATTAGACAGTCAAATAGAAATCAGCAAATAAATGAAAATGAGATATTGTGAACCTATATAGTAGTACACTCTGTAGTGTAACTATTATCTTGCAGAAGACATGTAAATAAAAGAAATTCCACTACCCCCAGGGCGGTGCTACTGACTGAAGTGTCTTTATTCCATTCCCAAAGGGGGGGACATTAACATCTCGAGTTCTTATGGACAGTAGAATTGAAATTGTAAATGGGCCGATTCATCAATGTCATGTACATAACTGTGCCTGAACTGCAACAGAGAAATGCTGCTTTTTCTTTCCTCATCCTTACTATCGTCATTTTTCCTCTACTTCTTTTGTACGTTTGTCACACTCTTGTGACCTGCTTTTTCCGGGGTGCCTTGATAGTCGAAGCAGACTTAATTAGTGCTGTTGAAGCTAGAGAGGTGACCAGAGTAAGTCAGAATCAATAAGGACTTCTCTGTTGACATCCACCCCTTGGCGCTCATATGACCTTATGCAGTTGCCAGCACCGTAAAACCTCTACTAAAACTAACTGAAAAAGAAATTCCATTTTTGAAAACCTTCTCCACTTGGGAATCAAACTAAGGAATCAAACTCATGTTTTCTACATGCAGCAACAAAGCATCTAACCACTACACCACAGATGATGGTGTAAAAAAACGATGATACACAAACATTTACAAAATTAATTAAATTAATTAATTAATTAAATGAATAAATTAAAAAAAGGTCAAATTCAGCTTGTTACATATCAAACATACATTTTTAGCTCTGCAATTAATACAGTAAAAATGGACAGTCAAAGTTACAAGAAATATTCTTCTGACAAATCCTTGTGGAAGAAAACAGGCTACACAACAAAAATACTATACTGAAAGGGTAGAACACTAAAATAACAATAGCATGTGAAAACAAACATCACCTTAACAATTTTTTCTCTCCCTCTTTTGTCAATTCAAAGAAAAGGGTAACAGGTTAAATTAAGGTCTCAATAAACTTACCTTTGCTTTCTTCAAACTCAATGTACACATATTTCTTAAGACCATCCAGAAGCATTGTGTCTTCCTTAAAATTTCCAGTCCTGATACCTGGGGCATCAAAGTAATTGATGTAGAAATCTTTGGGCTTTTCTGCATCTTGTACTTGTACTTTGATAACTCTGTCAAGACAATTTGAGTCATTCTTGTGTTCCTCTGGAAGGTTGGCCATGTCCCCACTGCACCAGTCAACTCCATCTTTGAAGCAGATGCGAGAGACTATGGCAAACTTTAAAAAGAGAAAGTATATATCATATTTTTTCTTAAACGCCTTTCAATTGAATCAGTTAAATCCACTTATGTGATCAGCCCCTCATTCCAGTATTCTTTGCCAAAGAGTTCTGAAACAGAAAGAAGAAAAAAACATCATGAAATTAAGAAGGGTGAGGGGGTGGGGATGATATAATAATAATAATAATAATAGATAATAGATAGCATTTGTATAGCGCATATCCCCGCTCAACAGCAGGCTCTATGCGCTTTACACTATATTATTACCCCAGCAGACCATAGAACACTCCGAAACATTCTCAGCTTCCCGGGAAGCATACAGAGTGCAAGCAGCTGATTAAGCGCTCAAACACTAACAAACTGACAAGATCTTTCGCTGTCTATAGCCGGGTACCCATTCCCACCTGGGTGAAGTGAGGAAAATTCGTGTAAAGTGCCTTTCCCAAGGACACAACGTCAGGTCCCTGACGGGATTCGAACCCACGACCTTACGGTTGCGAGTCCGAGAGCCTAACCACTAGGCCACCGATATAAGGGAACCACGAATGAAACAGGTAAACATTTCAGGTTGCTACAAAAAGGAAAAAACACAGCAATGATATTTTGGAACTTGGTGAAGCAACATGGAACCAATCGGGACAATGCAGATTTTCATCAAGGAAAGTAAATCTATAAGGGACATAATATGGACAACAGTGCAGCACACACAAAAAGAGTAGCAATCTTTTGTAAGTATGAGCAAGAATTAAAAGCCTTCATTTCATGGGAAGGACAAGTACCAAGACTTATCCCACTTCTTTCACGACAAGGAAAAAGCAAACAACATGACTATCATTCAGTGTTATAAAGCATCCACAAATAATACAGAGAAAGTAAGTAAAGATTGATTCTACTATCAGCTTCAAAGTATTCTGGATCAACATCCGGCAAAAGATGTCAACTTCCTGATGGGAGATACGAATGTAAAAGTTAAAACTGACAACACTAGATTTGATGTGATGGGGGGGGGGGGGGGGGAATGGGACTTGGAGAGGCAAGAGACAACGTTGAAGGATTCAAGAACATTGCGCATTGAACACATAATGATTGGAGAACTGCACCCCCACAAGAGAAACCACAAGGCAAAATGGATATCAGCTGACCATGCCAAAAAGAACCAAATACAGTCAAACCATGTTAGACAACCCCCTGCCAACTGTCTGAGTTGTGCGAGCCTTATTGAACTAATACAAATTTACTCTGCTATGTTGCCAGCGAACTGGCTGCCAAAAGATACGCACACATGTTCTCATGGTCTAGAGGTATGGTTTTCGCCTCTCAATCAAAAGGTTTCAGGTCCGAAACTTAACAGTAACAGCCGCAAAAAAATATATATATTTCTGTAAGATTTTCTCTATTTACCTTATTTTCCTGTTGCCTAGTCATGTTCTGTCATCTGTTTTCATTTCCACTTTTTGTTCTTAAAAATGGAGATACAACAGGAAAGCACTGCGAGGTCGCGATGTGTTGATACTGATGTAGTATAACACGGATAGGTCATACTCAAAATTACACATCTGTCGAACTATGCCTGCGGTCACAATTTCTTTTCTGCTTTTTCTTTGTAAAAGTTGTCCCTCGAAAAACGGATCCCTCGAACTACTAAGGCCGGTCCCAACCAATTTGAGTTATCTGTGTTATACTGTATTCAGCTTTTTAAAATCGCTACCTGTAAGTCCTTAGGCGAATTAAAATATTAGACAGTATGTGTGCAAATTAACAGACCCCAACCAAATTGTCAGCATCTAAGATCTAAGATTCTTATTCACATTCATCAACAGATTGAAGATGGAGGGATTCTACGATTCAAGTTCGTGACAAATGGGACGTATGTACACCACAACATATAAATATATATATACTGTACAGCGACCTGAACAAGAAAGCTCTATTGCAAAGTCTATATTTGAAGAAAAATATTCCCATAAATCATAGATATCTACAGGGATCTACATGTACATAGATTGATCTCACTGTCTCTGTGAAAAGAGGATGTGCAAGAGTGCAACATACAGTTTTCTCAAATATGGACAAAATGTGAAGCAGAAACAATCCCACCCAGACAGCATTGTACCAACTAAAGGGCAGAGGCGGAGGCTCTACTAATGCAGCAAGCATTATCAGGGATGCGATAGCCAAACGGCTTACTATGACAGATGTCAATACTGCAAGCAATCACTGTCAAAAAGCTCCCAAGATTGCAAGAAGTAATGAAGGGCATCCCATGCCTCAGGATCAAGCTGAAAAAAGTCCCTTTGCACAGGTGGTGTCTTGGGAAACAAACTGGCAGACAGGATTGCAAAACTGGGAGCACTGAAAGAACAGCCAGACAACAGCATCAGCTATCCAGAAAAGATCCATCCAGAAAAGTAAAACCTCATACTTTTACCTTCAAAGGCATCGCAAATAACAGATAAAACTTCCCTTTATCATGAGCTGCCCTTCCAAAAACAAGTATATATATATTATTCTCCTCAGACTCAGAACACAACACACTGACTCAAACAACACAAGAACAGATGTTTTAAAATTGTACCGTCACTAAAATGCCATTGTGGAGAAGCTGACAAAACTGTGGAACACATCCCCCACGCAGTGTGCTACACACACAGTCCTTTAAGATATGAATTTAAATGTGGCCAAATTATCACTACATGAGAAAGTGGTATTCCTAAGCCAGAGGAGAAACTAAGCAGGATGGCCTAATATTTTGCAAGATCTACCAGTCTTCAAGCATATAATGCCATCGCCAAAAAGAAGTACACAAGGTAGCATATTGTTGGAATGCTATTTTTTAGACCATTGTTCTTTGCAATCAATAAGAAATGTAAGCCCTTTAACTTACTTTAAGTTACTTTAACTCCCCCCCCCCCCTCCAACGTAAAACAAATCTGAGCAGGGTCCCTTATTTTTTCCCCATAATTTGATGTTTTGCAACCAGAATATTTTTTAAATAATTGATTTGCAACAGTTTCAGCGGCCATATGTATATATATCTATACATATTTGCAGCAAAAAATAACATGGCCGTTATTGACCTCCAAATAGTTCATCTGTGAAGTAAAAATTTACCTCTCGTGGCCTAGAGGTTAAGGTGTTGGCCTCTCATTCAAAGGTCCCGGGTTCGATTCCGGGTAGCGACCGGAAAATTTTCTTCTCTAAAATTGTCTCCTTTCACATCCTTTCCTGATCTCTAACAATGTGCTGTTGTCTGCTTTCATTTCCACTTTCTGCCCCCACCCCCTCACCTCCTTTGCCCCCTCCTCTGGGCTCCTGACTCTTTCTGCAGCCTTTCTACTGCTACTCCTTGGCTCCTCCTAACTGCTGTCTTTCTGCCAACCCCTGATCTTCTGGTAGGAAAGATCTACACCTAGCCTTCTCGGACAAGGGCGAAAAATCTCGGAGGGCCCGTGTGCAAGTTGCGCACGTTAAAGATCCCTTGGTGGTCTAAAATCGATAAGAGTAGGCTTCGGCCGCCACCCGGGCAAAATTCAAAATTTTCTACCAACGAAAATGTAGGGTGTTGAGCCTATTTTTAAATATTTTTTTTATTCGATAAAAATTGCCAAACAGGAGAAAAAGTGACAAGTTTCTTTAATTTATTATTTTTTAAGCGCCTGATTTTGATTTCACAACGTTGGGTCTCATGACAATGACATTGTGGAAATTAAAACAAGACCAAGCAACATAATATTCTTTGCTTTATAATACATTATGTAGTCTATTAAGATTTTGTTTCTATTTGAATCTGCTTTAACTATTCGGAGATGTGATAATAATTGATATTTAGCCTAAATCTAATTATGAAATAATAAACACTGGAGTTGGGGTATTAGATCTACGACATATTGAACAATATTGATTAATTGATTAATAGACCTATGAATTAAAGTACGCATTAAAGTACCAATATAATTAAGATTCTACTTATTCTGAATTGTTCACAAGCGTCATACCGAAGAAAGGAACGGGTAGGGGCGGCTGAAAAGGATAGTCGAGTGTCTCTGCCCAATTTTGATTTTGAAACTGAAAACTGATATCGCGGTAAGGTTTCATTTTCAGTTTACTGTTTCCAAATTCCATGAAGGAAGTGTCTACGTACTCCCCGATTGGGGTCTACGTAGTCATGGTGTCTAGGTGGACCCCAAGGAGTTTAGAACTAACTTTTTAAGGTGCACCACGGAAAATATGCAGGGCAAAAAATACGATGTTTGGCGAAAATTTTTGATTTTTAGCTTTATATCCGATTGGGTACTTCAACGTATTGGGAATAGATCTGACGTGTTACTTTTACCAAGAACACATTTTTGAAACACGCTGTCAATCATTTTAGTAGGTACCCCCCTTTCAAATTACGTGCAAATTTTAGACGTAAAGAAAACTTTTGCTTAGTTGATCCATTCATTTTCTACCCTGACAACCAAAACAATCTAGATATAGTAGATCTTCTGCTAACGAGTTCAGCGCGGAGGTCAGACTGAACTTTCGTCGAGTCAAGGACACACGCTTCGGTTTATTTATAGCTCCAACGTTTTCCCATTAGCCAAAGAGTTTCCAGAAAGCTTTCAATCCCAGAATGCAACATATCCGCGTGTTTTGTCACCCGCGGTCACAGAATTCTACAGTCTACAATGTGCCCGCGGTCAACACATCTCCGAAGCTCCGGGTTTTCGTAAGCTTCTGTCACTTGAAAAAGGGGGAAGAATAACTGAAATTCTTCAGCTTTGACAATGTTTCAACTGATATACAGTGCAGGTAAGAGTATATTTCATTCCTTGGTGTTTTGCCTTGAACTTGTTTAGCCTCACACGATCGTAAGTTGTAATATCAGCTGCTTGCTGACCTCCTACACGGTCTAACTACTACTACTCTAAGTCTAAGTTAGTGCGAGTCTCGTAATGGCCTACTAGAGAATTAGGATTAGGCTAGGACACACTACTGGGACTAGCTTATTTTACGAACAGCATTGGCAATATTCAGGAGTTCATTTCATGAACTGAATGTTGGAATTAGTTTTAGTTTAGGGAGAACTGATGAGGAGTATGAGCAAGTTTTGGAATGGAGATGTGTGCATTTTCGGAACAAGTAGCCTTGTCACGGTGCAAAAGCTGTGAGTTTGTGGACCACTTGCAAAGCCACATGAGCTTTGACCTGCTTTGACATTTTATCGATCGGCTGACCTAGATCTAGTAGAACAGACAAGATTTTAACCACATAATGCCACATTCCCTCATTTCTACAGTCTTCAGTAGTTGTGCATAATTCTTTTTTCTCTATGACTTGACGTTGCTAGCCCAGTTTGAAGTTTCCGGTTTTCCTTCAATTATTTTCGTACTGAGATCTAGATTCTAGATCTAGATCTAGATTCTAGATCTAGATCTAGATCTAGAAATCTAGATCTAGATCTAATCTAGATCTAGAATCTAGATCTAATCTAGATCTAGAATCTAGATCTAGCTAGATCTATCACTGGGGCGGGGAAAAAATAAATTTAAAAATAAAAGCTGAAAATCTTCAGTTCCGGACTTTAGGCACAAGTAGATAAGATTAGATCTTTGTCTCATTAACTTGTGTGCTCTGTTTTGAACTTATATCAAATTACAAGTGTGTTAATTAAACTGCTGCTCATCAGGGTTAGATCATGAATATATACGATTACAAGTTTTATTTGGCCATGCTATAAAATCTTATACAATAGTTCAATGGGAACATTCAGCATTTATTTGTAATGTGGACTTATTTTGAACTATATTTTAGTTTACTCCCTTACACCACAATTCATGGTAATCGCACCCAATTCCTTCTATCTATTCTAATTCTGTTTTGTGGTTTTTTGCGGGAGAGGAGGGAAGGGGGGGGGGGCATTCAAATTAATAGCAAAACGATGTTCAAGAAATATGTAGATATACCGAATTGATATTTTGTAATGAGTGCTCTCAGTTTTCTTGAGGTACTCTAACATTGGTGCCTTTAGGATAAATTACGTAGTATACTAGTAGTGATTTGTTGCCAAATTCTTTTCTCTCTAGCTGTTTTTTTTTGGCTTTGTTTTACCAACAAATTGGTAATTCACTAATCTGCTTGTGTATTTTCCCAGCTTTGCTAATCTATGAAGGCCCAGCTGACAACTGATAAGTTTGACTCTTGACTGTAAATCCTCAAGCCTGAATGTCAGGTCAACTACAGTGGCCCCTCTTGGTAAAGAGAGCAAAGCGTGTCATATGGGGTTGCTCACTCCAGAACAAGATGAGGAACACCTCACTCATTGGTGATGGAGATTCAAAATCATCCCCACTGTATTAGGCCCTCAACCCCTATGATTCTATACTCAGAAGGAGGTGATGTGTGTCATCCATGTGGCAAAAGAGTAAGTCAAAATTGATTTTGATTCTTACGTGTCATGAGAAATCAGAGTGATTTATTTCGGATACCCGATATCTCTCTCAGAAAAATGCCTCACTAATACTTAGGCTATACTTATAGAGTGATTAGTTCATTGAAAACAATGTCTTATTCAATTTAAGTGAAGGGAAGTAAAAGGCAAACAATAACTGCACTTTTATATAATTGATACTGATCTGATTCAGATTACATTCAGATTACAGATTAGGCCTAGTATTAGTGTGAGAGATAATACACCCCTTTCCCTCCATTTAAACCTATTTATGCTCATCAACTGTGCTTCAACTCTTTTATCAGCAGCTGACACAAGTAAAAGTACTGTGATTGAAAATGTAATAATAGTTTGATGATAGAAAATTGCATGTTTGGCTTTGTTTTCATTACTGTTGAACTTTGTAAGCCTGTCACTGGTGATTTTGTTGGCTTGAAAAAAATACTTCCAAGAATGAGAGAATGGTTCTATGAATGAAATCTGTTTTGTATGTCATATCATTTCAGTCTCAGCTCTGTACTTTGCAAAATCTAAGAGCCATCGAGAAAAAGAGAGGTGTAACGCTTGGAGAGAGAGCCTTTGGCATACTAACTCAGGTACCGTATTTGAGGATAAGAAATTTCACTTGACTATCCCCTAATTTTCAAATTCCCATCAATCAACAATTATTGCGCTATTCCCCTCAAGCAAAACTTAGCCTGTTTGTAACCTAAGATATGATGGATGTTTGTTCATTTTTTTTCTTTTAATGGAGAAGGAAGCAAGTTCTCCTGGGACCTACGGTGCTTGTCAGGCCTTGTGAAGCATGAGGACCATAATGATGAACGCCGTGTATCATATTTTGCATTTGGCATACTGCTTCATTACATGTATTTCATAAAACTAATTGCAGATTCACATTCAGACACATTTTTTGGGATATTTCCAGAAATGTTATTTCCTTTTAGAGAAAGTAGAATTTATAAACTGAGTCTAATCATATATGCAACCAACCGCTTATCTAGCGCTACTCTTTGTCCCTGGAGATCAAAATCAACAACTGTCTGGTGAAGCACAAACTGACCCTGTGTAATGAAGGGGTTAGTGCCCATTGTCTTGTAGGCCCGGACTTCATGCATTCACTCACTCTCAGACTCAGACAAGTGTGTCAGTGGAGAAAGGGAGAATGTCACTAGGCCCTAGGCTAGGCGTACACAGTTGCTGAGTCGCTGGTGTGTAGTGTGTAAAGTGTGCACTGTATGTAGACGGTGCACGCAGCACCTCTGGTGGCCAAGAGTGAAGGGGTTTGGAGGAAAATTAACATTAGTAGGCTACATTTCAGGTAGGGGGCAAATAGTAGCCTATGTTTATAAAGGCGTTCCTTTTCGTGCATTGGCAAAACCTGGTGGAAAGCTGGGCTTGTAAAACAGGTTGGCAGTTTTGCAGGATTTGAGTGTATATATTCTGCTTTCTTGTCCTTTTTGGTTTTTTGTTATAAATGAAATCGGACTCTTATCAGCTGAATTTTTGTGCTTGGCATCTGCATAAATAACTCCCTGCTGCTTAGAGTGTTAAATGGGTTTTTAGTCTGCAATTACAATTTTGCCATTGAATGCGTTGCCAGCTTCTGTCTGCAGAGGATAATAACAATACCTAAATCTTATGGGTTTTTTCCAGGTTTTTTTCTCTTCTATTCTTTTCAACCAGGAGAAGATTGGATGTCTCCAGTCCTATTACACAAAACCTCTGAGGTTGTTCAACTCTTTCCACTGCTAATGTAAGAAGCAGTGGTGGCCACGTTGCTGCACAGCACCAGCACAGATGGAAACCCACATCATGACAGATGCCCGCCTACTAGTGAAAACAACTGGTGCTTTTACAGTACATGTATAACACAGACAGGTCAAACACAGAAGACTCAAAATCACGCATGCATCTGTAGTACTGTGCCTGCGGTCCCGGGTTTTTTTTTCCTTCTTTATCTTTTAAAGATATCCTTCGGACTACAGATCCCTAGAACTACGGATGCCTCGAACTACTGAGGCCAGTTCCAACGAATTCAAGCTATCTGTGTTATACTGTACTTTTACAAAAGGCATTACAGCCAAAGAAGCACAGCACCATCACACAAGGGAAGGCTTTCTACCCACCTCAAACCCCCTCATTTATGAAGCCTGTGCACCACAGATGAACTAATGGAGATCAAGTACGCGCCTGGCGTGACACAAAAATAGAATGGGAGTTTCCATAAGTTCACACCTGGTTGAAGGGCCCTAAGACGGTCTTTGTGACCAAACCAAGAGTAGAAGCAGCCTTTGCTATCACTACTGCAGACTGGAATTTGGGGGCCCTTAGCACCCATACGCTTATGCCATTTCTAAAATTGCAGGTCTCAGCCCGAACCATGGACAGTGGCATCAGAAGGGACTGTACCCAAATATAGAGGGCAGAGACTAACATAGAGGGTGCAGCTAGAAAAACAGGAAAGGAACCATCTTTTAGAGGAGGAAAATTGGACCGGCAGATGTCTCTACTGCCCAGGAAGAGGGACTGATTAGGAATAAAAAAGTCCTTCAGCAATTTATGGCTGTGTTTTCCTCTTTTGGCAACTTGGAGTTGCATGTTTTTGACAAATTTCCCTATATTTCTTCTTTTCAGTTAATACTACCACTAAATTGACCTCTCTGTTGCATGACTACCTACTGTATTTTGGGGTGACTTTTTTTCTTAAAATTAGATATAAAAGAATTGGGTACATTGAGAAATGATTAATTGTCTTTATACAATTCAATTCATGCTCCTATCTGTTTTGGTTAGAAAGTTATGACAAAATCTGTTCGTTTTTTCAAGTTTTCTCAAAACGACAAAAATTAAGGGGTATGGGTTGCGTCCCGGACTCTCATTTGAAACTCAAGTGGAGGATTTCTTTTATATTTGGCCTAACTATGTAAATATGAATTTTCTGTAATCTGAAATGGGCTTTTTCATATATCTCTCACCGATTTTGAAAAATGCAGTTTCGAGTGCTTCAGTTGATGTGAAAATGCGAAAATTAACAGAGTCAAGCAATAGCTATGACGTTATCCTCAATATCTCTTTATAGGTTTCAAGTATCAAAACAAGCCCATTTAGGATCACAGATTTTATTGCTAGTGTGCTTATGGGAAAATATAAGCACTTTAGTCAATAAACTGATTAAACGAGAGCGCGGGCCGGATTGAGTCAAAATTGCTTCTGTACCCCAAAAACATGAAATATTTTCAAATTCCTTAAAGAAATATTATATTTTGCTATTTGAATTTCATTTTGAACTCCTGGAGTGTTTTATGATCACTCTGAATGATGCTGGTATGTGTTAATAACGAAGTTAGAAATATTAACTGCCACCTACCCTTAATCTCATTGGGGTCCACCTAGACACAATGACTACGTAGACCCCAAAGACCCCAATCGGGGAGTACGTAGACACTTCCTTCCGTGAAAGAAATGAAAACTGGTGAAACTGGAAAACTGCTGATGGTGAGCTGCTGGGCCGTGAGCCAAATCCAAATGAATTGTACTCCGAATAATCGGATAATTTTCCAAGACACAAAAACTATTATTATAATCGAAATAGAGACTATAATAATTATTATTAGAATTCGTTTTTGGTTTGTTTTGTTGTTTAAACACAATCATTTCTCTATTATTCTATTAGTTTGGTAGAGAGGTTTATTAATCTCTTCAGAACCTTGAGAAATTGTCTTTCTTTTTGACTGTGTTAAAGAAAGCAGTACTGAGTCTCAGGTATCAGTATTTTGGTATCACCAAAGATTGCTTTTTATACCTAGCAAGATAGTTCACTCGGCCAAAAAAAAGTGTCCGCGGAAGTCCGTGCATTATTGAAGTGGGCAAAATCCGGATAATCTATCCGAATAACCGGATAATTAGTCATGAAACATTGTCCGAATTCAGACTCTTACTTAACTCACTTTCCTGACCCGCTTGCCGAAGAGGGTGTACTCATTTGTCGAAGTGATTCTAACCCATTTGCAGAAGCGGTTCTATCATATTATTTGCCGAAGAGGTGCACTAACATATTATCCGGATTTTGCTAAAGCGACCCATTACCCAGCTCTAGCATTGGTTCAGATGTCGCTCAAGGAGATTAAAAGATTAGTTCTAAACTCATTGATGTCGCTGCGGTCTTTGTTTTGAAGCTCCCTTTCGTTTCTCCAGAAGAAGAATAGATAGGAATAACACAACACCCCCCTTGCGCACCAGCTGGTCCGGTTCGCTCAGTGCGGAGTTTTGGGTTTATTTTATTTTTATGACCTATCGCTTCTCGTTTTAAAGCCAAATCAAACAAAGAAAACAATCACCCCTTCCACCTGACGAGGATTTTTGTCAGCGTAACCATATAAAAAGGCTTTATTCCGAAATTTTAATTACAATTTATACAAAAACTTGATAGTTTCACTTTGATTTTTTTCCCACAAATAGGGTACGGTAACTGTTCGCAAAGCGGGCGTTTTTTCGAAGAGGGCACCACTTGATTTTGAGGCTTTGGGGACACTTTTTTAATTGGTTCCATGAAGTATCTCCTTTTTTTCATACTTCGTTTAAAAAGTTTTATAGGCCCTATACGCTTCGATTCAGTCAGTGAGAAATAAACCACCTCGTAGATAAAGTGCTGATGAAGAATTTAAAAGGTTTTTATTTTTTAGCCTATATCACTATTTTTTACTAAGATTTAGTATTGAGTCTCATACCCAACCGTGCGCGTCCCCGGGTGGTGGAAAGGGGAAACGCCTCCAGATATGGAGGTTAACTATTAAGCAGTCGCGAACCAAATGGGAGATGTTCGTGGAGAGTAGAGGAAAACCCTGGTGACACAGGTGTTTCAATAAATACCTCACACACTCGAAGAAGGGACCATCTTGGCGACGGGAGGCGCCATAAATCCTACCAAAGCCCCCACTGCCTTGTGGGTTGTCAGAGAATGACAAAGGCTAGCAGAGAAAACTGTACAAAAACCGGCAGTAGGCAACGGGAAACCGCTGCTGTAATATCCCAAGAATAGTCATGGAAAAGTACATTCATTTATCAGATAACATTGTTAATGTGGTTCATGATCCAGCTCTTCGAACTCCCCGCTCGGTAGGGACCACCACGGGCAGCAAGTTGCGCCTGATCACTGATCGTCATCCAGCTACTGGCTGCAAAAATAAGCAATTTAACATAGCCACCTGGAACGTGAGAACAATGTACCAGAAAGGCAAATTAGATCATATAGAGCAGGAAATGGACTAGATTAAGCTTGTAAGGCCTTTCAGAAGTTAAATGAGAGGGGACAGGCTTGATTTAAAAAAAGGATCCAAAACAATTGTATATATTCAAGAGGAAAAAACCCATGAAAGAGGAATCGGAATTTTACTTGACAAAGCAAGAGCAAAGAGCATTAAAGGTTTTTGGGGAGTGTCAGAGAGAGTCATCGTGGCTAAATTAGAGGGAAAACCTTTTGACATAGGTTCCATGATATGAAACACCTGGTTTGAAAATCACACAAGAAAACGATACACTTGGAAGAGTCCTGGCGATAGAAGTAGAATTCGAATAAACTTCATGCTTATTTAGAAACGTTTTAGAAATACAATTAAATCGTCTAAATCACTGCCAGGAGCAGACTGTGATCGTGATCATGTACCAGTCACGTGTAACATGCGGATGAGACAGAAGAAACTTAAGTTAAGTACCAACCAAAATTTGACATAGGTCTTTTAAAGACAAATCAAGAACTGAAAAGCGATTCTCCATAGATGTAAGCAATAAATTTAAAGCTTTGAAAAACATTACTAAATCGGAAGAACTATGGAGGAAAATGAAAGACTCAATAATGGAAGCTGTGGAAGAAAATACCCCCCCCCAGCTAAAAAAGCTAATAAAACATGGATGACCCAGGACATATTAAAACTAATGGAAGACAGAAGAAATGCAAAATCAAATTGGAAAAGTACAACATCTTAAACAGAGAAATTTAATAACGAAAAAATGCAACGAAGCAAAAGAAACATGGATAAATGATCAATATCAACAAATGGAGAAAATCCAAAATAAAGACAGCAAATACATGCATTCCAAAATCAAATGAGTAGTGGGATAAAAGGATGCTCAAATACAGGATGCCAGTTGGTCAAAATACATAGAAAAACTTTTCACAGATAATAGAGGAGAAAAACCGGTAATAAAGAATGACATAAAAGAACCACCAATACTAAAAGCACAGGTACAGGCTGCCATTAGGAAAATGAAACAAGGAAAAGCCACAGGGCCAGATAATAATATATTCACGTTGAAGTGAGTATCGCACTTGAAGAACGAGGCACTGAAATAACAACAAAGTTCCTAAATGCTACAGTGGAAACCTGATATAACAGGGATGGTGGGAATAGAGAAAATGTCCTGTTGTATCTGATCCCTGTTAAATCAGAAATGCATTTGTGGACTAATCCAGCTGTACTTATTCATAGGTAGTTTCCTTTGCCACAAGTACCCACGAACAGGGGTTTTGGCACCAACTTTCTCCTTGCCTCCTTAAACCACATCAGAAGAGCCTGGTCCACAGCATCTGCATCGGCCGGGTAGTCTCATCTTCTTTCGATCCAGAGCGAACTTTGTATTGGAGTATGCTGCCTCTATCTTCTCTCTATCCTTGATAATGGTATGAATCGACCCTTGTGGAATGTCGAACTGACGACAAATCTCTGCCAGTGAAGCTTGCGTTTTGTCAACGCCCTGGACAATTTCGTATTTTTTGGTCAACTGAAAGGCATTTTCTCTTGCGCTTGACATCGTTGGTGACAGTAGAAACATTACGCGTGCGTGTTGCTAGGTTTCGGGCTAGATCGAGGTCTGCAGCACACCGCAGCCCTCTCTCGCTTCACACGCTGCGTGTGCTTGCAGTGGCACGGCATGTATGGGTTTGCTCCATCACTGCGTTACTCTCTCTCTCTCTCTCTCTCTCTCTCTCTCTCTCTCTCTCTCTCTCTCTCTCTCTCTCTCTCTCTCTCTCTCTCTCTCTCTCTCTCTCTCTCTCTCTCTCTCTCTCTCTTTTACTTTTTACACATTGTTACCGAGCCTCTGTCCCTGCTATAACCGGTTGATCTCCAATGGGACCCTATTATTGCCGATAACTTTTAATAGAGACAAAGAGTAGGAAAAATCGGGGATTTAAAAAATCTCTGTTATTACCGGACCCCTGTTATTACCGGGCCTGTTATATATGGTCTCCACTGTATTTATGACAGCGGTGAGATCCCTGAAGATAAGATGAAGTCAGTTTTTATAGCTTTACCTAAAACACCTAGTGCCACTGAATGTGATATATATGCATAGAGAACAATTAGGAGTCATGTTACAAAAATATTGCTGCGAGTAATAATGGGAAGATTGAGAAAAAGTGTAAGACCAGAGATATCTAAAACGCCGTTCGGCTTTGTTCCTAACAAGGGTACATGTACCAGAAATGCTATATTCACCTTAGCAGTGTTAATGGAAAGATGCTTTGAAGTTGAAGCACAGAAAGATCTGTATTTATGCTTCA